AGAAGGCTGTTGTGGGGGACCGTGTCAAAGGCCTTACAGAGGTCCAGACAGACGACATCTGTAGCCCTTCCCATGTCCACTGATGTAGTCACTCCATCACAGAAGGCCACTAGGTTGGTCAGGCAGGACTTGCCCTTGGTGAAGCCATGCTGGCTGTCTCGAATCACCTCCCTGTCCTCCCTGTGCCTTAGCAGAGCTTCCAGGAGGATCAATGTTATGCAAATCTTGTTCCACTGAAGTTTTACTATGCTTTGCCAGTTTTTCAATGAAAATTGGAGATCAGCCCTCCGCTTTCTCATCACCTTTCTTTTTGTGTCTCCCTTGCTTTCGCACATGTGTACACACACCCACACACACCCCATGCTTACATATAGAATTGGTCTTTTCTCCGCAGACTTTATTACAATAACCCGTACCTTTGTTGCTCCAACTTCAGGGCTTTTCTTGACTTCTCTGAAGTCTCCAGGTTAAAGCCTGCTGTCATTAAACTATAGCTATACTTGCATCCTCTAATCTTTAGATGGCTTCTTTTCTTCAGCAAATTTGCTTGCTTGTTTTCTGGTTTGTCTTTTTTTCCAAAAAATAGACGAAACTACTCCTGGATGCAGACATAAAAAATACTTAGTTTTTGGTTTGTGTCTTTTTTTCAGAACAGTAAAAAACTTTCCATAACATTATCTGTTTAGTGAAAAAAAATTTTTTTTTTTTAAACCTGAAGAAGATTTCTCTAAAAAACTTCAGCCAGTTCCAGTTCTTATATAGGCAGTCTTTCCTTTGCACTGAGTGATTATACTTAAAACAGGACCCAGCTGGATAAGATTACTCGTGCTCGTGCCTGTCCTTGGCCAGACAGAAACCCAACTATGATACCTACTTACGTTACCGATACCTGACTGGAGGAAGAATTGCCACCATGCTCGTGGCAGTCAGGAACTGCATGGTCTAGTGAGGACCAAACTGAATCTTAAGGCCAAACTCAGCATTTTCAGTGCCTTCACTTCTCTTTGCACGTTGAAAATAAAAAGTAAAACATATTGCCATTTGTAGTGCCACCAGTGGTCTGCAGATACAAGTGCAATCCCCCCTCTCTGTCCCTGCTGTCTCCCCACCTCTGACAATCTGTGCTCTGCCCTGCAGGCTGTTTGACACCCGGTACAGCATACAGAGAAACGGGCAGCTCCTGACCATTTTGAGCGTGGAGGACAGTGATGATGGGGTGTACTGCTGCACAGCGGATAATGGGGTTGGAGCGGCCGCGCAGAGCTGTGGGGCTCTCCAAGTGAAAATGCGTAAGTGGGAATGTGACGTCATGTGAGCATGTAATTGAGAGCCTGAGCAGACCCCCAGGTATGGCCCCCGGGGGTCCGTGTTCAGGGCAGACCCAGTTCCTGTGGGGCTGGGTGCAGTCCCTTGAGGCAGAGACGTGGCATATTGCATCATATCTTAACTAAAAGCAGTTGTGATTATTCACTTTGAATAACACACACTTGTGCTAGGATCAGAGGAACTGTTTGCATAGCAGAGGATAAAACCTGATGCTTTGAAGAACGCCCTTTGTACAAAACTTCATAAAAGCAGCACAATTCGATAGATTAGACCTCTGTAGCAATACTGCATAAATCCCTTGTGAATTTTAAACATAAGATTTCACTAATCAGATTTATGCCTGAGGATGGCAAAAGCAAGTAAATGCTGTTCGGATATTCTTATTAGCAGTCTTGAAATGTCTGGAGTACTGTGGTGTAAATCTCATCATCCCATGTGGAAGGCAGAGGACTGGTTCTTGCAAAGGGCTATATACGTGCTGAGCTCAGTGAAGCTGAACTCACATGGCTGCAGTTATTTACACATTTAAAAGGGTAGCTGAGATATATCCTGGCTAAAGCATCTGTTTGTAGGAAAGGATTTGTTTGCGTTAATAAGCATGACCCTCCAGGTCTGGTAATTCTGGGGCTGCCCAGCACCCTAGTCACCTGCAGGTGGGGGCCAGGAGGTGATGCTCTCTGAAGGTCATTTTTCTGCTGGTTTGGTATCATGCAAGGGAGACAAAACTTCAAATCTCCCAAAACACTGAGATGAAGATATTTTTTACTCCCAGCTCAGAGTAAGTTAAGCCATGTTTTTCTTTGGGTAAAATGAATTTAAATTTGTCCCATATTAACTTCAAGGGAGTTTGATTGCTTTTTTCTTTAAGGATCCTTTCTCCTTTTTACTAACATAGTTATAAATCCTTCAATTAGGGACATTAATTGAGTTTACATGCCCTTCTTGTTGAGCTAGAGAAGCCTGGGTTAAAACTATTTCAAAACTGATTCACTCCCAATCTGAGCTTTCACACAAGACACTGTTTATGCAGTGAAGAATGTCAAAACCTGGAATGCAAACATTCTTCAATATTGGAAATATTCTTATCTGGATTTGGATTTTAGCCCAGGCCCTAATTCAAATGACTGTCAAACTCCACTCCTGAAAACAAATAACCCATGCAAGTTAGCCTGTTTTGCAGCCATAAACTGAAACTCTGAATGCTGTGCTTAATAAAGTTTTTTCTTTCCAAGGCAGCTCATGACCTACTAAGACTGCTCTAACTTTCGGCAATGTACAGAAAAAGCAGCAGAGATTTTGTTGTCATTTCTGAACTTGTCCCATTCTAGTATCTCTTAGCTGCTGTTCAACTTTAATTTTGGACTTTTAAAATTTTAGGACCCAAAATAACCCGACCGCCTATAAATGTGGAAATAATAGAAGGGTTAAAGGCTGTTCTTCCATGCACTACAATGGGGAATCCAAAACCTTCTGTTTCATGGATCAAAGGAGAAACAGTTGTAAAGGTGAGTAGAGAATGAAATTCAAGTAATGCTAACTATTCACTAAAGTTACTGTGTTAAAATATTAGCATCAGTTACATCATTTGTAAATTCTAGTTGCTAGGAAGCAAGCATTTGGAAAATCCAGGGCTCACCTCATAAATATCTGCATCTGCAATAATTCTGCCTATAAACCAAACATTCTCTGTGTATTTATATTTTATATTATATATATTTATTACTACTATGCATGGCCAAATGCTTCTGAACATTTGCAGCGACTGAACCACTTAGCTAAGATTCAGGGCTCTTTTGAAGCTATAATTCACTGATCTGCAAAAAGAGGGATGGGTGAGTGTGTTCTGACAATACTGAGCAGGAAAAGCTGGCCCCAAATCCTCCAGTTGTAGGACAACACAAATAATTTTCATGCATGTAAGCCCAATCTTTGGAAGCGGATATTTGGTGTTGCTTGTGTGCAGCCTGCATGTAGAGCCCTCACCTTGATTCCTCCTTCCTCTGGCAGGAGAACGCTCGCATTGCTGTCCTTGATTCAGGGAATTTAAGGATCCACAATGTTCAGAGAGAAGATGCAGGACAATATCGATGTGTAGCCAAGAACAGCCTAGGCACAGCCTATTCAAAACCCGCAATGGTGGTAGTGGAAGGTGAGTAATCCCTGCAGTGGGCTCCAGGTCCACATGCCAGCTCCTCGTACATACCTGCTTAACTTGAATTAACCTGAAGTATCACATTAATGGTGACAAAAACATCCTAGGGCGTGACCCAAAAGGCAGAAGAAGGGAAAGGAAAGGAAAGCAGAGTGAGAAACAGAGAAAATTTGTCCACACCTGCTCCCATTGCTGGCTGATGGTAAAAGGGACAATCTGTGGAAGGTCCTTGTCCATGGCTGCTGTGGCTCTGGTGGGATATTTGTCGGAGTAAGGACTCCCAAATATGTTTTTCCTTCTGAGTGATGGTTTCCAACTTGTTTCTTGTTTGAAAAGTCCCACCAGAGCCACGGGTTATATGCTATGGCTTGTGGAGGTGGACAAATTGAAAGCTGATGGCCCTGGAAACTCACTGCAAAGAGCCTGATCAGAGAGAGCTGCAGCTCTAAACAGTGAAGCATTTTGCAGCATTATGTGTATGTCCCTCTCCCTTTCCTCTGATTTGCCATCTGAATTGGTTGATTCTTCAGGTAAACAGAGCTTTTCTCTTTGAGAACTTGAACGTTTTCTGTCCACTAAACCAAACACCGGATTGATTTTTCAGTTTCTGGTCTTTATGTGCTCAGTGTCCGTCTCTTATTTACAGAAGGTGTTTGCTTTGTGGTATAAATCATCACCAGTTTCAGAGTGCTGAGACCAGTGGGCTGCAGGGGAACTCAAATGTAGGCAATGAAGCATTCAATGTTCCTGAACCCTATAAGAGAAGTTGGGTTAAACAACATTTTGCAGAGCGGGAGGAGGGATGACTGACTCAGTAGATGAAATAATTTTTATTTCTTATTCAGAATGACTGTACTGTAGAAAGTGGAGAAGGGTGTCCACTTGCCTAGTAAGCTTCAAAAGACTGTTGTAGGTTACATTTGGCTTGGGACTATCGGAGGTTACTTAGGGTGCAATACCATTTCTAAGATGACCATTGACTTTCTTCTGGGAGAAGCATCAGGTGTATTAGATCCAACTACAAATTACTGTAGGTCTGCTGTTTCCCTAAAAAATGCATTCATTTTTCAGTTTTTTTTTTTTTTCAATATTTACACGTATGGACTTCAAGTATGTTAGAAATTCCTTAAATAGCTTTAAAACAGGAAGGCAGCTATTCCTAATCTAGATTCAGAGTTGTACTTCTCCCGAGCTAAAAGCGATGGGACAAACTGAAGACACTTGGATCTGCTGTGAACAGCTTGGGTCCTGGGTTTTGGTTTGGTCCCATCATTGAGACAGTGGCCAAAGGCTTGTCAAGAATTAACTGTGAATGGCAAATACTCGGTGCCTGCATACAACTGCCCCCTCCATGCTGAAGGGCCTCAGGGTCTGGGATTTTGTTGCTCTGGATCTACCAGAGCCAGTTAGGGAGTCCAAAAGCGGCCTGGAACTGCACCAAAATCCAGGCTGCTAAGGTTGATATCTTGTTTTGTCCTTGTCTCCGGAATTATGCAGTCACCTGTTAATTCAAGGAATGGCAAAATAATCCACAAATATCCTACTTGCAAAGGAGAGCCTGTGTGTGCTCATTTTTAAAATGAGGAAGATTAGTTCTTAATTAATCAATGGGAGCTCAGTGCTCCCACACAAACTATCCCCTCATGTTCCATTCATGTGTTGGGTGAACAAAGCAATGCTGTTCTCCAGGCTCGCCTTGGTTTCTCTGGTAGGGCACCCTTATAATATACCTCGTTTCAGGCTGCCACCCAAACTGGACTCATGCATGTTTGTTTCGGCTTCCAAAATCCAAAGGTAATAACCCTGACTGCAGCTTGCTGTGTATACAGATCCCTTCCCCACCCAGTATTTTAGATTGATTCTTATGGACATTTAGCATACATACACATATGCACATACCTGTGTATGCACGCAGGTATGAGCACACAAGTGCACCCCCCTCATGCACCTCTTTTATCATTATTTTTAGTATCCCTCCCCTCCTACCTCTCCTACCCCCCCTACCCCCATAGTATCAGCATTTTAAAATAACTCCAAGTAAATAATAATCTAAAATTACTCGATGCAGGAAAATCACACTTCAGTCGGTCTTCTTTGAGCATTTACTATGTTCAGAACACTTATGAAAATACGCTGTTTGTTGCTTCTCTGTAATAACATTACAATATTTTTTCTTAAATCTTGGTGCTACATTCACTGGAGTTACCACCCTGCATAGTGTGGCTTAATATTAAAATAAAATGACTAAGCATGGCTGGTTAACTATGAATATTTAATCCTGAAGCAAATGCCCATTCAAAGAGCTGTGCAAATATTTATGCCTAGCTAAATCTAGATCAGACGGGTCCTGACTTCTGAAGCAGGTTTCTAATTTTCTGTTGTGAGCTTCCATTTTAACGGGTTCAGCATTAGTCCCGCAATTAGTTTCAGGCATTGTTCAAAGTGCAGATTTGTTTAACTTCTTGAAAGATTGACCCTCTGCTTCCTGCATGCGGTCAGGCTCCTTAACGCATGTAAGGTCAGGCACATGCTTAAAAGACTTGCTGAAGCTGGGCCCAGAAACTACAGCAAGTCTCAAATATGTAAAATTATCTATGCTGGATCCACTCATTCAAACTGACGATAATCTTGGCCCAAGCATTTACACCACTGAGGTGCCTTACACTCCTACTTCTTGTCTGGCTTCAGCAGTCCAGGGTAAAACAGTTTGAAAAATGCTGCTATTTTGATTTTCCAAATATTTTTTCTCCATTTCTTGTTGGCTTTCCTCAACATTTGTAATACTGGCCTCTATTACTTTTAAAGCACAGTTTTAATATTTTTAAAGCTTTATTATTTTTAAAGCAAAGTTGAAATAATTTGAGCAATAATTGTAGATGAATATTCAGGTGCAATTCTTGTCAGGAAAAAGAAAGCACTGCAGGCGTTTCTTAATGGAACTGATTTTTCAGTTGCTCCTGTCAGTGTTCACTCCTGTCAGTGAATGGAGGGAAGGAGATAAGGATCCTCTGGGTGCTGCCCCCTGCATGGACTGGTCCCTAACCAGCGCAGCCTGCTTCCTCTCCCAGGACACATTTCAGGCACCAGAGTTCAGGTGATGAACTACTGAACTCTAATCAGTTAATGAGCTTTAGTGTCCAGAACTGGGTCAGGATTTTAATTAAAAGGGTTGAAAAAAGCCTGTCCTTTTGGACTGTGTTTTTCCGCAAGTTTGGGGCAAGCCCATATGAATTTGGACATGTGATAGTGAAACAGATTCTCTCCTTGAAAGGCATTATCCATTAAAAGTGGAAACATGATCATAATGGACCTGACTGCTGGGTCTGTGGGAAGAGCCAGGATCTTCACTGGGAACCGTGCTGAGACCATGGACAGCACTGCCTTGACCAAAAGGCTGCCTGGGGTGCCTGGAGGGTGTTAGGAAGAGAAGCAGAGCATGGGACATCCCCTTGATTTGACACCAGGGAGCAGGCACAGGAGGTGAGGGATGGGGAAGGGGCACAAGAGGCAAGCGTTGGCCAAGAAAGCCCAGTAAGCGACCATGCAAGGTGG